ACCTCTCTCTCTCTCTCTCTCTCTCTCTTCCATTTTTTCATTGCCTATAAACCAACAACATTCTCTCTCTCTACATGCCCTTCTCTCTCTACAAGTTCATAGACCAAGTTTCCATAAACCAAGTCACTCTCTCTCTCTACACATGGTATTTCTCTGCAACAAACCAAGATGGTCTCTCTTTCTTTCTCTCTCTCTCTTAAATCTGCTCTGCAAAAAACCAAGATACTCTCTCTCTCTCTCATGGAAATTCGAAGTGTTTTTAGTAATTTATTATTTGTGTATGCAAGCCGATGCTTGAACATTTATTGTGCATGTGGAGGCTTGGCTTTTTAGACGTGTTGTTTATTTTCAAGTAGTCGGATTGGTTTGGCGTGTTGCGTCTGACAAAATCTAGACCGTTCATGGAGTCGTCTTAACTTCTGTCTTTACATCGTATTGTACTTTGTTTATAAGGGTGATGCATATGGGGCGTATATAATATTATGTGATACATGGGTGAGGTTCATCAATCTTGTGTAATAAACTCATTGAGGTGGTCAAATTTTTTTTATTTTGGTATTATATACTTGAAGAGTATTTTTTTTTTTGGTAAAAGAAGTTTGTCTTTTTTTTTTATTTGGTGCACTTACGACACATCTTTAACCACCTGAAAAATTGAACCAACCCTTTTACCGTTAACTTGAAATCGGGCCGGTTTCGAGAGCAATTCGATTTTTCAAACACCGAATGAGTAACCAAGATGTAGAGTTTTGGTGGAGTAGAATGTAATAGGATATTGATTTGAGTTGTAACTTTGTTTTCTTCTTTTCGATTAATCATTTTTTTCATGGTTATATTCTGTTTAACCAATGAATTGAAATGTATTCTTATCAAATAGAAAGTTGCCTTTTTGTCACAAAAAAAAATAAAAATAAAATAAAATACGATGCACTAGGAATGGTACAATAAGAAGAAACAGTAGGAATAGTATATAGTAATAGTAGTGTGGAGTAATGATTTACATGTATAGAGTTAAGATAATCACGCAAAGTCTTAATCAATGTTCACAAAATCGAATCGGAACGGTTAACCAGAAACGATTTAACCTGTCTAACCGGTAAACCGATCCATTCAATCGTTTTAACTGGACAAGTCCCAAACAATAAAAAAAGTGTTGCAAAAAAAGAAAAAGATACAAAAAAAAATCTATCAAAATATGAAAGTATATAAAGAATATGATTAAAATAAAATACACTTAAATAATTGAAAATTAATGAAAAAAATAAATTTTAACTAATTGATTTGTGTTTAGGGGTTTTTTTAAAAAAAATTTAAAAAGATGAAAAAAATATAAAAGTAAGTATCAATGACAATTTTTTTTTTTTAATCTTTACCATAATGTAAAGTATTAAAATAATATTAAAAAGTCGACTGGACCAACTCTTTTTAAAAAAAAAAAAATGAAAAAAAAATTAAAGTTATATACAATGTAAGCCCTTCTTTTTTAAAGTACATAATAAATTCCATATTGATTAGTGGGTCTAATAAGCAATTAAGTATTAAATGGTGTATTGGCTAGTGGATCTAATAACAAATGAGTTATTTAAAAGAACTATCAAGTTCGATTCAAATTTTTTGAACCAATGTAATAACTTCTTAGTATTGGTTAGTGGATCTAATAACTATTGATTAGTGGGTCTAATAAACAATTAAGTAGTAAATGGTATATTGGTTAATGGATCTAATGCCAAATGATTTCTTTAGAAAAACTATCAAGTTCGATTCAAATTTTTTGAACCAACATAATAAATTCTTAGTATTGGTTAGTAGATCTAATAAATAACAAATGATAAGAACTTGCAAGTTCGATATAAGGTTTAATAGTCAACACTAACCAATACATCATCTTGAAGTATTTGATATAAATGTAAAGTAGTATTGGATTTAAACTTTAAAACACTAGTTAATCATCAAAACTTCTCAAAACCGAAATCGGTTACTTACCGTTTCCGATCTAGCCGGACGACTAGCGGTTGGATCGGCCCGTCTTGCCAACACAGACCCAACAACGTAATAGAAGCAACTACAAAAAGCAACTTTTACGTAGTACTGCGTCTCCAGAAAACAACCATAAGCAACCGATGCAAATTAAAGCTGACAAATCGTTAAAAGAAAAGCATCTCTCTCTCTCTCTCCTTAAAGACTTCGCCTTGAGTTTGGGATGCGTAATATGAGAGAGAAGAGAGAGATTGTGGCCAACTGTTTCGAGAATGCATTCTATTTTATGCATGGATGTCAACAAACAATGACGAGGACAAAGACCACATGCCCTGTAGGATCAGGTGCACACATTATGCTAGTTGGATTGTAGGACCATTTACTCTAACTTAAAATTTTATAAAATTTAATGTCTGCTTCTCTATTATTTTATCAACTTGCACTCTTTTTTTTTTTTTGTTAAATAGTCCTTTTTTTCTTTTCTTTTTGTAGTGTTATGGCTTAAGAATTCATCATCACCGGCTATGCATACAAATGTATGCCTTTGTTGCAGACAAAAAAAAATCAAATTCAAAATTCAAACTACAATTTTATTATTATTTATTTGTTGAGCTTATCTTCTAATTTCAGCACAGGAATAATTAGGTGCACATACATTTATTTTTGTGTCTGAATTGATATTGATCAATTGGGTTTGTCACTTTCTAAAAAAATAGGAATATAAATAGGATAAGGTTAAATTTAAGGGGATTTATCTCTTAAACAGTAAGATAAGTTCGATTAAGAAAGATAAAATAAAGATGAGAGAAAAAATAGGTTAAGAGAGATAAAATAGAAAAAGTAAGAGTGATGTTTTTCTTTTGGTTATTGATTATCTTTTTCTTGTAGTTTATTTTAAAGGAGATCTCTTTTTATAGTAAATCAGTGAATGAGTTCAGTAAAATTTGGTCTCGTGAAGCTGATTATTTTTAAAGGGGATTCCCTTTTGATATATCCTATCAGTCTTTTCTTTTTTCTATTGTTATTATTCCCGTATTATTTCCCCTTCATCAGCCTTCATATACAATGTACACAAGCAAAATTGCATACACTCGTGTATGCCTTCATGTGCATTAGGCAATGAGACATGTATATACATGAACACACAAGCAAAAATGCATACACTCGTGTATGCCTCCATATGCATCAGGCAATGAGACATGTATATACATGAATGCCTTCATATACATTATGCAATGGTACATAAATGAACACGCATTCACATTGAATGAGTCCCTTTTGTTAAATATATATGCTTAGACATGCATATATGTGCATCATGAAATCACATAGATGAAGGTTGCAGGTGCTGAAGGGAACAGACCAATGCTAAAGTCTCCATACATGTGTGCACAATAATATGATACATTGATACTCATGCATGCCCTTTGAATGGGGAGAAAGAACAACATCCTTACATATGGAAAAAGTTTACATACGGTGTCAACCTTGTAGAAGTAAGGTGCACCTTAAAAATAGGTTGGAAAAGATTGTTTCGACTTTGAAATCATTTAATTGATCATCTTGATCATGAAACATATGGATATGAGAAATTTTAAAAAAAGGATTTCAAGTCTTAAAAATAGCGTACATTGTAATACGTTATCTGAACTATCTATTTTCAAGATTTTCAAGTGTTTATAGTTCTACTAGCTTTTGTACCATTTTTGCATGTTTGAATTTCATGAAATTCTAACACTAATTACATCTTATTGAAAAAGTTTAGAGGTGCACCTTACTTTGATAGTTTAAGGTTGGCTTCTTATGCAACCTGCACCCCTCATTTTTATGTACTGTGGTCACAAGCAAAGATGTGCATAACCTTTAAAGGGGAAATTACATGATGAATATTAAAAATATATATATATATACAAATAATACCATTTCCATTTTCTTTTAGAACAAGAAAGTCAAAATTACCTTAAGTAAAATTCAAGAGTGGAGTATATATCATTGGCCATGATCAATGACCCGCATATAATGTTTTGAGCTTTGTGACACAACCTAGTCACACAATTTCCCATGTCATGGGTTATTGTCATCACTTAG